CCCGCTGTTAGTCGACAAATTACTCCAAATACTTCTCCGATCGAGTTTTTCAGGTTTTTCAGGAAAATTTGCAATGATATTTCATGTATTTAAGTGATTCCGAAGCTTTTCTACCTCTTATTTCCATCATGGTGGGCTTCAATACGTCACATCGTCTTGCTTTTTTCATGTTCACCCTGAATCAAAGAATAGTGTTTCCCAATAGTGTTTCTCAGTTTTTATTAGAACAAAGTTATATATTCCTTCACAAAATCAACGAATTTCCTTCAATTCGGAAGAAATTCGGTGAAAAATAACCAAAAAAAACGGCGACATTAAAATACCGTCGAAAAACTGCGTGGCGCCTTTGCGAAAAGGGGCGGATCGCTCCGCCCCCTTGTTTACTTGTTTGTTTTTGTGTTCACCAGTGCTATTTTTTTGAATTGACAATAGATTGTTGTGACTTGCTAAAATTAGTTTTTTTAGTATTCCCTCTATTACAGATCTCGAGACGATTTAGGATTCTGAATCTTTTTCTCTGAATTTTGACATGTCTCCAAGAATAACTAAACGTATCCAATTATTTTCCAACCGATTTCAGCATTTTTTGAAGCACAATTTTTTTTCAAACCTCACGTCTCATTTTTGGCTGGGATGAAATACTGTTTCAATTACTTTATCAAAATTAGACTTTGACAATACAATTTATTGTTCGTAACATAGTTATCAGTTAATCGGAGAAAGTTCGAAGTTTTAATCAACAATTATTAGTTCCTTTTTTGAAGAAATTTACTGTTTCAAGTTCTATATGAAAACCAAATATCTAGCCAGTATACTTAATAGAGTTTTTGCTTATGCGAACTTCTGAACATTTTTTGAAGAAGCTCGAAGTTTGAAACATTTCGAACATACCGTAAACAATCCAATAAAATGTCCCCCAAAACGTCAACGTTGAGCTCATATATCTTATCTTCTGTAAAATATATCAAATAGTAATCAACACTTAAAATATTTTTAATAACATGATGAACATTTTGTCAGTTGTCCATTTTTTGATATCTCATACCGGAACTGAGATAAAGTTGTTCAAAGAAGAAAAACTATTGAAACACAAGTTAAACGTCATTTCCCTCCAGATATCTAACTTCCTTAGATCACATGTTCAGAAGAGCGCATTTGTAAAAGGAATACTTTGAATGCTTTACGCTGATTTGAACTTGCAATTAGGGCTCAATTATCTAAAATTCTAAAAAATATAACAAAAGTTTGTTAGCTGTAAAAATATTTGTCATAATGTCACCAGCAGTTTTTAGATCACAAATTTTTGATGTCGGTTTAAGAAAATGAGATAATTGAGCTCAAAGTACAAGTATGGGTTGGCGTTAGGGGAGAGAACCTGCGGTAATTGAAACGATTACGAGTCGAAGTTTTTCGCTTTTTGTAAGTCATCGTAGTAGATATACGGCTCTAGTTTTATTAAATAATTCGACCACTCTAGTCTACTACAGCTGATAATCGTTTTGCTGCATTTCATTCCAATTTGGCACTTTCATTTTCCTCCTGCCTTGAGTCCTCATCTATCTCTCTCCATTTTCGCTTTCAATCTCCAATGTTATTTTTTGGCGCCAAAAGTTTCGCATTTTTTTGTCGGAAGGTGACATGATGGATGAGTCTGAATTCTTGATGTTCGACTTGTTCTCGTAGGAGGAAACTTGATAGATGATAAAGAAGAAGGGAACAAAAGTGAAAAAAGAAAAATGAATGAAAAAAGTTATCGGCGGTGATATCACCTCAAGTATGAGGAGGAATTGAGTTAAAAAGTTTCAAATGTGTCATTCGGGGATTCCAATAATATTGAGTTTCGAAATTACTGTTTCAAAATCATTGTTTTTTGGTAACTATGGATTTTATAAACAATCACATTTAAGAAACAACATGAACATAGAATTTTCAGTTTTCAAAAATGGAGAGGCTGTTCAAAGTGAAAGCAAACTGGAAGCGATGGACAAGATGAAAATGAATGCAGTGGAAATTGATAAGGTATGAAATAAGTCAAAAATTGACAGGTGTGACGATAATAGAATAGCAAATCGTGATTGATGAGAAGAGACTATTCTATGAAGTTTGAAAGATTGATAGATCACAAAAAAAACATACCGTGAAATTTGCTCTAGGGAGTTCTTCTATTACAAGGTTTGCGGTGTTCTACACATAGTTACTGACAAGTATTAATAGTTTTTTTAGTTACTAGGACATATGAGATGAGGCAAAAAGTTCTGAAAAATTAGATCTGAAAAAACGTTTCTGTTCCAGTACAATGTTTTGTTGCCTTTAAACCAATTTATGTTGCTGGTTTTCCGGTTAGCTCAGGATTAACTTGACTCGTAATTAAAATAAAAGTTAAAACTCGTTCCCTACTTTCAGAACTGTCTGAATCGAAAATTTGATTTGCTCAAACCTTATTCTTAGGCTCTTACCTTTAACGTTAGCCGTAATTATATCTTCAGTTCTATATACAAGTTTGAAAACATTTTAATTAAAATGTATTCTAGTGAGATTATAGCAACTTACTAGATAATTGATCTATACTTTTATGATATCTTTAATATATAACAGAATAGTAGGTCGGTTTTTCGTAAAACCCGGAATAAAACCTAAAATAAAACGTAGAACCTGGAAAATGTAGAAAACACACTATCAACTGTGACCCAATTTTTATCGCTACCTATTCAAGATATATTTAAAAGTTTTCAACTAACAAAATGTGTACCATAACATCAAAATCCTATTGCCAATTTATTACTTTTTGATATCTTCTGTAAAACGGAAGTGAATATTTTTTCAAAGTTGAGTGCAGGGCCTTTCTATTAGAAACTTCAAGGCTGCTCAGTAAAGTATTTAGGTGGTTCATCAAATTAGCGTTTGTCAACGTCTGTACAGAAAAAGAAATGACATCACGGTGTTCTGAAACATAAAAAAGACTGTATCCAAAAATTTTGAAATCTCAAAAACGAAAATCTTCTTTAGCTGATATTTTTCGCCTATCTCGTCAAGTGACTTTTGGCATTCAATTTGTTCAATGCAATTCAAGCATAAGTTTTCATTCGAATAGAAGTAAAAACGATTTTTTGTGTGGTTAAACATATCGAATTGAAACAAAGCCTAATACACGGATAAAACACGGATAAAACAACTTTATGAAACAGTCAAAACTTACACAATTTTTTTTCTACAAGTGCTTTTTTAAAAGTTTTATTAGAAGTATAGGATATTGGTAGCACAATAGCTAAATGCAAATTAATCAGAAAGTGTAGTATTTGTTCCTATTTTTAAAAATGTTTAACTAAACCGATTTAACAACTTCCGATACTTTTTTTCAATGACTCAAACTTTGTTTCAGCTCCAACAACTTCATTATGGTTGGTACATTCAAGCAGTTAGTTCACTTCTCGGCTCTGTTGGCAAACAAATATACATGAAAATGAGAAAGTGAGCATTATTTTTGTTTCTTTTCAAATCGCCATCACACCCTATCATCAACACTTGTTTCCTAAAACGGCAGTAAATCAAAAAGTGAAATTGGAGGGTGAGAAAGACCAGTATTTGGCACTTTTATGACCCTTTTATTGTTGCCTTCTCTCTTCTGTCTAATCAGAAACAAAAACGATTCTCGAGGAAAATTCGTCAGAAGAGGGAACAATGCGTCGTTAATACGCAATTTAATGAGGGATGATTAGCAGGAAAAGATACGAAATATGCCTGGAATCGACAATTTATGATTATTGTTCTTTTGGTTTCGTGAGGTGGCGAAATATCGCATGTCGAGGTTGTTGCGATTGGACTGAATGGATAGAAAGAAACTAAAGTTAACGAAAATTTGAAAAGGGATACCTTTGGTATGAAAATCTAAATTAATGATAAGGGGACATTAGAACTTTGGAATTTTTCGTAGTTAAAAGGGGACTCCGACCAAAAATTGTTATTGCCTTAAAATTTTTCAAAAATATGTATTTTCCAAATATTGTTGCGAAAAAATTTAAAAAAAATCTTAACTCCCCGAAAAACGGCGTTGAAAAAAATAGGATTTGAATTCCCGCGCAGTGAGAAACCTAAGCCACGGCATCATAGCGCCTTTCTTACATGGAAATTTTTTCGGATTTTTTTTTGGTTTTCATGTCCGGCAATTAAAAAACGTTAAAAAACCACTGTCGGCCACTGAAAAAAC